TAATTATCCTTTCATCTTTTCGATGATGACGCCTCCGTTTTAAGCCCTGTCAGTATCTTGAATATCTCATTCTTGGATTTTCCCAATATGAAACCTTTATCATCGTATGAAATTATCACTTTCTTCTCAATCACTGAACTGTTAGGTAACCAGCCAGTCTCTTGGAATGCCAACTTGCCACAAGACGGGTGATTAAGGAAAAATGGATGACTTCGGGTTCTCTACTGCACCGGTTTCTAAGACCGGGTTCAGGCTTAGTCAGCCGAGCTTTGAAGCTGTCAATGCTGGAATGACGGGACTTGGAAGCTAGCAGAATGAGCTTGACACCTTTCCTTTTTCATACTTTAATTCGAAGAAAAATAGCACCCCCATCAAAAACTTGACAAATTTCCATAACTACTGGATAGTCTCCTAGCCAAGATGCAAAAATTTATTGAGCCAAACTTAGAGGGACAGCACTGAACTGTGACATCGAACAGAGGCAGTTTCCCTCGCGTCCACTGAATGTCAGGAGCCGTTGCGCTACCTGTGACATGCCACCCCCCTGGGCGGCCCTCCCCTGTTAGCAACCGCCACGCGAGCGAGCGAGCGAGCGGGGACCCGCAACGGCAACAATCCTTCCCGCCTTACAGCTTCCCCCTCCCCCCGCAGTAGCCATCCATTATGGGTCTCAAACCGAACAGAAATGAGGCCATCATCATGCGATATTTCCACTCTTCGCGGGGTTCACACAATCATTTTATTGAGCTCTTTCTCCCTGGCCACCGAACCCATACAATCACACACACACACAAGCACACAAAAACAAAACATAATTCAACCTGCCGAGGAAGGTGAACACAAACTGACTGACAAACTGACTGACAAACTGGTTCGGGAAAATAGAACTTCCTCCCCCTCCGGCTGCTGCCCCCCTTCCCCCTCCTCCCTCCCCTTTCCCCTCTCTTCCCACTCAACGAGGCATGAATTGAAACATCCCTTGGAGAGGTAGGCACCTTAGTGTAGGATTTCATCCCGAGCCCGAGGTTAAAAGAATAAAAATGATACAAAGTACCTGGGTACAAGGTAGTACGAAGTGGTACCTCCCGTTTCCCTTCCTCTCCCCTCCCAAAACAACGACAAAACAGCTGCGCATAGCAAGCGGGACGGGGAATCCAACGTGCATCTTCCGCTGCACATCATCGGTAACATTTGACCGTGTAGAACAGCGGGCAGGGAGGGGGCTTTCTTGGCTGGGCTGGGCTGGGCTGGGCTGGGCTGGGTTGCAAGCCAGCCAGCCAGCCAGCCCGCCCGCCCACGCCCTCGCAAGCGCGATTTTGCTTGGACACTGAGGGGCCATTTCACCCACAGATGAATAACCTATCTATCTAGGTATGGTGTGTGTGTGTATGTAGTGTATGTGTGTGCTTGCTGTGCAGAAACAGGAAAGGGGTATAGGATGACACCCTCCTCAGCATCTCAAAGAGGAAAGATACCTCTGGGGGAAAATAACAGGGGAGAGACGGAGGGGGAGGGGGAAAAACAGCACTCCCGCGCTCACGCAAATCCACCACACACACCTACCTACTTACCTACCTTATGAATGAAACAGCACACACCGGACCAGCCCAGCTTTGGGTGGTTGACACGGGATCTCTTCCAACTGTGAAGGGGAAGCCCCCAAACGGACAAAGCTGCAGCACATTGGTGTTCCTTCATCTGCTATAGCTACCCAATCCACAACGGCAGCAGCAAACCATTCGTGACTAAAAGAAACCACCTAACGTAGGGAGTGGAAGGGAGCGAGCAGCAGCAGCACACCCATCCCGCCCCTTGCCTACCTCGCCGACGTTGTAATAAGCAAAGGAACCTTGGGCCAGCCGGCTGGCCGCCCCGCCAACCGTGTGAGTGTACAAGTACATACGGGCCTTGTGTGTCTGTGGGCGATGGCGTCTGTTGAAGTAGGGAAGACAGATAACCGTAGCCGTCGCGCGATCCTGCAGGCTGGAATTGGTCCTGAGAATTCATCAAGACGGCTGGAGTAAGCCACACCCGCTCGGGTTGTTGACCTTGCCTGGAACGTCATGGGGTGTATGTGCAGTTGCCCATTGATACACAAAAATTAACAAGATTTCTCTCTTTTTCTTGGTAGACCCTCGTCACAGTGACGCACCATATCTGCTCACGGTTCTGCGCGCCCAACTACGGCGAGGAGATACTATAGGCTGTTTTGTCTCGAAGAGCGAAGGGAGAGCGGGGAAAATTGCCCAAGCTATTACACACCTGGAACTAAAATACGAGCGAGCCGTATCACTGGCAGCAGCGGCCATCTTGTGTCTGATGTGAGGAACAAGCGCCGGTCGAGCTGCAAATGCCCTTCATATCTAAATACATATCACAGCGGGCCAGCATCTCCGCGGATGGCGTGAATGTATCCGAGAAGATCGCTCGCTGGGAGAAAGGCCGACGCATCCGAGTATGTCTGTCCATGTAGTTCCCTCATCCGATGGAGAGAGCAACCTTAGGCGACAGACCCGTTTCACAGTCTGCAATTGTTTGTCGAACGACTTGAGACTGAATGGCACCACTTGGATGCTTGATCCGCGGACTGAACCCCTCGAACGGCGGATGAGGCCGAATTTGCCCGATCATTTGTGGAGAAGTCTGCTTGGGGGCGGGCAGCAAACTAACAACCGCAACGGGGGCGCGTGGGGGGGCTTGGAAGGTTTGTTCGCCGGCAGGTGTTGGAGCCGCCATTAGGGGACGGTCCGACGCCCCAAGTGTTCAGGGGTAATTTCTTGGGTGACTCTATAACGGTGCAGAGACTATAGTTCATCACCTACCCGTGGAGGTTGTGATCCGACTCCTTGACAACGGATTCTAGATCATCGTCTTGCTGATTGTCTAGGGTATCCTCGTCAATGAGATTACTTTCCTCGTCACTCTCGGGCGGCTGTAGCAAGATATCCTCACTTCCCTGCCACTGCGACGGCATGGGAGGAATGGCATCCTCGTCGTCCTCCCAGCCGTAGTCCTCGTCCTCACTATCAGCGATCTCAAAGTCAGTCTCGCCCAGTTTCCGCTTTGGGGCGGATGTGGATGTTATTCCTCCGGATAGCTGGGTATTATCGCACTCCACTGACACCAAGCCAGCCTGCTGAATGATCAGTAACCATCCACGTTCGTCCGGGTAAGAAGTTCCTAGAAATACCTCGGCGATGCGGAAGGCACAGGCCCCGTCAACCAACGCAGTGCTTGCCTTTCCATTGAGCTTCTGAATCCCCACAAAATGCAGAGCGCGGGATTCTGAATCATCCTGGGCCCAGTCTCGGAAGAGGACAAGCCTGGTGGATATCCCCTGCTCCCAGACACTGGCATTGATTGCGGGGATTAGAGCTGCGCCGCGTTCCGCCTGCATCTTGGAGGCGCATTGTGTGAGGATGACGATGGCCAGATCTCTGGTAGCAGCAAGCTTCTGAAGGCTCCCCACAATGTGCTGCAGGACCTGAAGTCGCCTAGCCGACATCGATGGGCCTGAGAAAATCAGTATGCTTTCAACAGAGGGACGGCGGAACGGAGATGTACCTTTTTTACCCTTGACATCCACCTTGCCCTGTGGATCCAGTGTTTTGGGGAAGGCATGGTTCACCAAGGCTGAAAGCGAGTCAACAACAACGAGGGACGTGGTTGAAGGTATGCACGACGCTGTTGGCCGGCACAACAGAGCGATCAGGTGAGCAAGACTTGGGCATGTGTAGTGTGTGAACGCGTCCAAGGGATCGGCGGCCGGCTCCTCGGCAGCTTCGGCAGAGGCGGGAGAAGCAACGGAGCGCAGGCGCTCGCTGGAAACGTAGTGAAATCCATCTACGAGACCATAATGAGACACATTGTCCAAGTTTGCAAGTGTGAGCGAAGAGTAGACGGACCTACCCACACCACCCCTCTGCCCTCACGGAGACAGTTAGCAGTGAGTTGAATGCTATGCACACATGTTAGAGCTTGAGTCTGATGTTGGACGGTGGACGTGAACACAGGGTCACATGCCCAAATGCGGTTTTGCCAGCGCCGGGAGGGCCCCAGATCTCGGTCACGTGGCCCTTCTGGATGCCGCCTGGGCTGGAGACGACAGTGTCAAGGCCAGCGCCCAGCGAGGCATCGAGAGAACTGAGCCCCGTGGGCACAAAGTTGCTTTGGTCGCCCTGGAAGTCGTTCAGGGCCTGTGCTGCTGACACGGTGGGTAGGCGGTCTGGGTTTGGGGTGTGTCAGCATCTTGAGTCAAGATTCGGGTTCTTGATGATCGAGCCTTGGGAGGGAAGGAGCACCTTACTTGGCTGATCAGGTCTTTCTTTGGGAGGGAAGGAGAGACGGAGAGACGAACTTACGCGTCGACGGTAGATCAAAGCTCGAAACGTCGCGACCGTGGATCGCATGGTAGTCCATCACACCTCGGATACTAATGCCATCCCACGACAGGAGGGGTAGGATCACGGGAGACTTCCGGGTTGTGCGAGGTGGAGTGGCGCTATTCGTGGCCTTGACTGGTTCGGTTGTGGACGATGGTGTGTGATAACGGCGATCCAGCGCTTTGGGACGGCCCGAGTCGCATTTGCTAGCAGGCACGTGAAAGAACCTCCTGCACGTACCCTAACCCTAAGAGTTTGCGATGGCTTGTCGGTCCGACTGCCAACTGGGCACCAGGACATTGCTCGACGATGAGCTGAGACACGGAAAAGAGTCTCCGGATATGTCGGGATGATTCCGACAATGAAATGCCGGGTGTGATGGAGATGACGGAGTGCAGAAGCCTGATGAAGCTCGCTGAAATGAGGTCATTGGACAGGCCTCACAGTGCTAGGCGTCCGGACCCCGAGGGTTCGTTTGTTCATTCTCCATTATGACCAAGACAAGGCAGGTAGACAAGATAAAAAGGAAACTGATTGTCATTCTAAAGTGTTCTTAAACAATGAAGATAAAAAATGGCAAAAGCAAGCTTCTTTGTAATGAGAAGGATTAGCAATTTCTGGGACTGACCCGGATCGAACGGGTGACCTTCAGATATTTGATGAAGTGGGCTTCAGTCTGACGCGCTCCCAACTACGCTACAGCCCCTGGATGCTTGTCGTTGATGGTCGCAACTTTTGGTGAGTAGAAGGACCCCGCCCCCACTGGACTTGGGACACAGCTCCCTAGCTCCAGGGTTAGGGTCAGTGCATGCCCTTAATCACGCAACCCCTTCGCCAGTTTCTCGAGAGGCAAAGGTGAGTGTATTTCCCCTATTTACCAAGCATATCAAGCACAGGCTAATGAGTCGATGCAAAGAGAACAAAGCCATATGCTTTGTTCTCCAGAGTCGTAATGCCTCCCTCTCTTCGCGCATACTTTACCGATGTCTGTTGCCGATTTTGACACAGCAAACAAAGCGTCAGACAGTTCGGTGATAAAACAGCCCAAGCGATGCCCTTTAGCCTATGAGTGAATCTTTTACCTTGCTCACCGGCATTGCATCGCATCGCTGCAAATAGGATCGACTGGGCTTTGACTCTTTATGTGCGGTCTGTCTATGCAGCAGCAGCATACGTGTCCCATATCCCACGCGAAGCGAGGCCTCAGGAAGACGAGATCTTATCAGGGTTCTGTTCACCGAGAAATCGTTCGGTCCGACGAGGGATTGATCCGGCACGCTCCCCAGAAGATACCTCCTGTTTTTAACTCCTTTATGAGAAAACTCTTTCGAAATTTCAATTCTTGTTTATCCATTCTTGCCCTTTAATGATTGATTGATGCACTTGTTTGTTTATCGATATTTGTCAGCACTTCTTGTGTTATTAGGTCGAGAGTGAGAAGTCATTAGTTTGCAAGCAAGAACACACGCACGCAACGCACGCAAGGAGTGACGCAAGGCAAGCTACCCATGCACACCAGAGTAGTAGGTAACCGTTCCAGTCGTACGGCCCATATGCTGTTCGGGAAGACCGTCCTAGCCCCCGGATCTGCGGCGCTCGCGTCCTTTTTGGGCCCAGCAGAAGGAAGCCGTCAAAGCTTAGGGCAGTTGGAAAGGGCAACACTGTAATAACAGGAGGGAGCCAAAAAAAAAAAAAAAACCTTCGCTATAAGTCTGGAGTGTGGGGTAGCAAACTCCCTTTTTGCTTTCTGGCCGTTTACCCGGCTCACCTTCCCCTTCCCCATTCCAACAAGCAAGCCACACCTTGACATCAGACGAAGGGGTGAAAAAAAAAGTTTCCATGGGCCGAATGGAAAATTCCAAAAGTGGGTTTGCCGCGGAACACATTTCGGTGACAATTCAGCAAGGCACATCCTCGCCAGACACCAGCCTGGATTTTCGAATTCCTAGATGCTTGCTTGCCGGATGGATAGAAATAGAAGAAACCAGGATTTAGCAACTTATGAGAAGCGATGTATTGGTTGTGAAGCCAGCAGTTGGAGTCCCTCGTATTTGAGCAAGATTTATTAGTACGTTTACGGATCCTCCAGATGTGCTGCAGGGTTACAGATTGACGAGATTCAGATCTCGATCTAGGGGCCAGGCACTACACAAATTGATTTGCACTGACATCACTCACTAGCGGAGATTTGCGAGACGACGTAACATCAGTCAATCCTGTTCCCGCTTTTGCCATGTGATCGGAGGGGTAGTTTCATCCTATGTGTAGCAGCAGCACGAGCAAGTCTGAGGAAAGCAAAAAGGGCAGAGTCCTGGAACACAACAAACTGCAAGCTTCTTCGCTTGCCCTTCACCGCCTGACTTGATTTTTTTTGGGTCGTCCTCCTCGGCCATCTCGGGTGCTTGAGATTGTGGGGAGCAAGAGTACAGGGCTGGCTGCACGCTTGCCCTCCACATCTCGCGACATAATTTCGCCATGTAAGAAGCCGACGCCTCGGAAAGATTCGGCTCTCCGGCGATCAAGGTGGCCCCGAGACAATGGTTCCTCTTTTTATTTATTTTTGATCTGGAGAAGAGAGGAGGCGGTGGGCGTGGCAGGGACATCTTATTTTCGTCCTCAGCGTCGACGCGGCAAGTTGTGCTTTGGAGAACAGCTAGAGCCCCACAGACTCCATGCCGTCTGTCACCTTCCCAAAACCGAGCTCTGCTTTCACCGGGTTTTGTTTGCCCATGGCACAATCTGTTTACGTCGGAGCTAAGGGGAGAATGAGACAGCGGAGCCGCCGGGTAAATGGACACTTCAAAGGATCGAACGCTCGGCGCCGGGCTTCACCAGAGCGGCGGCCATCATTTCTCGATAACGCCAGTCCAGAAACAAACGATTTGTCGTCTCAAACCTGGATCCAAATCGAGGGGGGTCTATCGTGATTCTTATCAGAACCGCTTCTTCTTTGTCTGCCCCTTGCGGGCCGGATCCAGAACGCTAGGGCTCGGCCTTTTTGCGGAGCTCCGCATAATCCCGAATTCCTCACTGTCAGCGACGTAATGACTCGTAGATAGCGAAGGCCTGGCTCTTGAAGTCCTCTTTCGGGCCATATTCGGCGTCTCAAGGCTCATCGCCCGCTGTCGGGCGAGAACACAAAACTAGAAGTCTCTGACGATAGAGATTTTCTTTTGTCAGCTCCAGACAAGCGGTGAGGTATGCACCTTGATGGTTTCGTCGCAAAATACGATCGCTGGGGAAAGAAAGCTGCTCTCCGTTTATAGCCCCATAGTCTGTGTCTTAGGTTCTGTGCATGAGAAGGAGGTAAAAGAAGCGCCGGGTTGAAGGGACCGAAGACCCATGTTGTATCTGCTGAGAGGCCCAACAAAGCGCTGTGCTAGAAGAACTAGCGGTCCCGTAGCTTCATCCGGACGTCGTTTATCTTGGCTTTGCGGTTGACAGCAACCACAGCCTTGAACACGTGCAGAAGGAGCCGCTTCCCCAGACCGGAGATGTGTCCCAAAGAGACGGAAGGCTGTTTGTTCAGCGCGCGGGGATGACGGCGACGAGGCTGGCTGGCCTGTTCGGCCTGACTCGGGGCTGCGTGAACCACACCGACGGAGAGCAAAACTAAGACTAGTAAAAAAAAAAAACCGGTGTGCTGTTCCCGGGCTCTCTGACATGTCTTACTCTCACTTGGCGCCGTTGTTGGGGGCCTCACCAGAATTTTGTGTGTTGTGGCCTGGGCATTGACGCCCAAGACCCCAAACGAGGCTCTTTTGGCCGTTGTCGTCACGTCGTGAGGCTGGTTTGCGGCCAGCTCACCCTCACCCGAGCTGCGGTCATCCTGGTCGTGTGTTCGGCAGTCACTTCAGACGGAACCAGGCTCGGGGCAAGGAATAACCCAGTGAGTCAAATTCCATCCGATGGGGCGTCAGAGAGCCTGGAGCTTCCCTTTCTTTTTCGCCTCCCCCGAAGCAGCAGTGCGCGGCCGCGGCATCGCGACCAGGAATTTCCACTTGCCGGGTTTTGAGAGTGGGAAATCATTTCGGTCTGTTCGCCGCGAGATGTGATAATGAATTTCGTTGGGCACCTGGGTAAAGTAGATACCGAGAGACAGCTGAAGTTACCGATTTGGGTTAGTTCCGATTACCCCCCCCCCCCCCCCAAAGAGTGACGCTTGTGCTAGTTTTTAGTGAGTTGTGAGGTTAGGTTTGTTTCTTAAAAGCTGGCTGAGGTCGTTCATCTCCCGTTCGCGGAGGCAGCATCGCCTTGACTAAAACACTGCTTCCTTCCTCGTGAGCAATGGTGCACGCATGCGGGGCAGCAGGCTGGCTTTGCGAACTGAGAACTGGACTTTATGACACCCCGTGGCAGCTTTTTGTGCATTGCTTTTTTGGTTTTTTATGGTAGTTGGTGGGAGCAAGAGCACTGGACGATGGAGCTGTAATGTCCCGTGCCGTGGTGAGAGGTGATAAAGGCCCCCTGGCTGGGGCGCAAGGGCAGGTGTGACCTCGACCCCCACGCCGCGCTGTCGAAATTCGGATAAGCGATGGTGAAAGTTTCCATCACCGTCCGAGAGCGTCAAGCCAGGACTGTTTGCGCCGGTCGCCAAAAGGCTCTGAAGCAGCCCCTAGCGAGTTTGATGCTGGTTCGCTGCTTGGCAAACTCGTCGAGCCTTTGGTTCGAGACGGGAATGCAAATCGGCTGCTCACTTGCCTTCTCAGGAGCTTGCGCGCTTATCGTGCGATAAAAGGAGATTAGGTACCCCGGATTTCGGGTGACGTGAGGAAAAGGACCCTGGGCGCTGGAGTCTGGAGTCTGGAGTCTGGAGTCTGGAGTCTGGAGTAATAGGAGCTGGGGTTTGGGTTTCTCCAACTTCCAGAACTGCCCTCTACCCTGTATGTGTTGGCTTCGGCGCAAAGCCAAAAGCATGATTGCCGCCGCCGTTGGGCCTTCTCCGCATTCTAATTGCTATCCGCAATCCATATCCCCTTTTGGGCCCTGCAGGAAGGAATCTCGCTCACTCAAGCTCGACCTGGAAGCTCGTGAAGAGGAAGGAGCCTTCGGAAATAATGTCATGCCTCCAGAGTCTGGGGGCAGGCACTCGACAGCCGGCATGCAAGCCGCGTGTGGACGCCTTGCCTCGCTGTCTGCCGCGGCCTCTCCATACTTTTCTTGCAAGTCGCCGACGCTTATCTCTGCTGACGCCACCCCTGAAAGATTGCTGGGCTCACGTCCCCACGTTTTCCGACTGTTGGGTCTTGACCAGCAGCATTGTGACATCCGTTCGAAACGGCCCTAGGGGTAAAAGGAGGAGAGAAAAACGAAAGAAAGCAGACCCCACGCCTTCTTGCCGCTCACCGCTAGCTGGCTGGGGAAGCTGCCGGATCCGACTGCCTCGATCCCGAGCATCCACAAGCTCATCAATCTCCCTCCCACTCGTTCCGCAAGGCAAGGAAGACAAACCCCTAACAGCTTGAGCTAAGCCGTCGTGTGTCTTGTGTGACCACTGGCCACTGACCAGAGAAAGGCAGGCCATGTGGCCTTGGCTGTTGGTGGATGCGGCGGGATGGACCAAGGCGCTGGCAAAGTGGAATGGCGAATGAACAAACGAGCGGTCGTTTCCTTGACACGTTGCTCCTGGCGAAAATACAAACCCCCCCAAAAATGCCATAAAAGGCTCGGCCTTCTCAGACGACAACGGATGGCTGTAACTTGCTT